CACACTGTTCATGAGCCAATTTCAAACTAGAGCAATTTCGAACGAGCCAAGCGGGAGCTCGCTCTAGCTCAGCTCGTTTGCAGCTCTAATAGTAAGTTTTCAATTTGTTAGAAATGCTTGTGTAATTATTGGCATTTTATAATATCATAATTTAAAAGAAAGGCTTCGCGTGTAACTTCTGTCCGTCTTTATTACTTTTTTTTTCAAGTTCGCACTGTTCATGAGTCAATTTCAAACTAGAGCAATTTTGAACGAGCCAAGCGGGAGCTCGCTCTAGCTCAGCTTGTTTGCAGCTCTAATAGTAAGTCTTCAATTTGTTAGAAACGCTTGTTTAATTATTGGCATTTGATAATATCATAATTCAAAAGAAAGGCTTCGCGTGTAGCTTCTGTCCGTCTTTATTACTTTTTTTTTCAAGTTGCATTTTTTTAAATATTTTTTTTTTCAGTGAATTTCGAGCGAACTTTTTGGTATATGAGCAAATAGCCAACCATCGGGTCACCATGTCATCCGTAAATTTTATCTACCCGAAGTATATTTTACATACATATCACTTAATTTGTGTGCATTTACATATCTAAGACCTAAACTTTAATTTTTACAAATATATCTCACCTTTCGTATCATGCAAATTTGTATTTGACCTCTTAAATAAATTTAAAATAGTCATGCTTTGATATGATACAAAAGATTTGAATGGTATAAATGTAAAACATAGAGTTTAGATGTTAGATATGTAAATACATAGGAATTAGGAGATATGCACATAAATGCTCCATATAACTTGTCTACAAATAGTGGATAAATACGATCAAAATAATTCCAAGCTTCTCTATCGATCAGTGACTTGATGAATTCATTTCATCTGATCTGTTCTAATGTCATGTCATAAGTGGAGCAGTACACATGAATGCAATTAATCTTTGAAGATGTGGAATGAGTGACAACTAGAATATATGATTGTATGAAATATATTTCTAGTTCTTACACTTCTAGCTCGCTAGTTTAAATCATTCAACACCACAAAATCTTTCAAACTCTTTGATTTGAGTCTTCCAACACCACAACATTTGCATTACTTATCTATTACATAAGCTCGATAATACAACATGCAGTCATTAACACTATAATCTATCTTCTTTGGTATCAACCGTAACTTCAACACCAATTTTTTTATTATGTACATGTCCGCTGGTGTTAAAATTTTCTCTAGGTTTGTCTCCTTCAATAATCATGTTATATAGTTAGAATATACTTTGGGCATCATATGAAAATCTGATTTAATCAACATTCTAAAAGTCACTGATAACCCAGAGTGTATGGTGATACCTTGACACAAAGGTCATTATACAATATTCAATAATTCATATAATTTTTTAGCTTTGCTATTTGGTAGCTCGTCCTTAGCCATTTTCTCAAAAAATCAAATTACAGTTATGTTGAACACCTTTTCTTCAATTTCAATAGAAGTATAATCACTTGGACGTGCAGAGCTTGATAAACTATCAGCCTGATCATATTCAACATGTAATTCATACTCTTCATGAGCAGTCTATTACCTATAACTACTTTGAAATCTATTATAATAAAAATATAACTTGAGTTTATTTGATGTTTAGAAATGATTGATTTTTATGTTTTGTGTATGTGCATCAAAACATACCTTTGAAAGATGAGAAGAAATCTATGATATCGTCTGCACAAAACTCTCAACACCATTTGAAAAACTTATTAGCGAGTCATTTCTTCCAAGATGCAATCTATTGTACATCCATGCTATTAAATGTTGGATGCCCATTGATGCCTTATAGATTTAAGAATAAAGGTATTTAACACATCTGTTAAATAGATCATTAAATATGAATGTAACAATTGAATGTGACATCTTAAGTAAATAAATACATAAGTATGAATGCAACAATTGAATGTGACAGCTTAAATACGTAAATACATATGCAACACGTAACATTTTCATATCACATCAAATATATCACATTATAATCTGCAAAAGTGAAATACACATTTTCAAGCATAGTTAGGTGGCATGTATGAAATAATCAAAGTATTGCTACAAATGTGCCAAGTTGGCTCATGAGTTGGTCGTGCCCAGCTCAATGAATGGCTCATGAGCTTCCTTAATGAGTTAGCAAACAAAGCTCAAGCGGATTTGACTCAATTCATTTGCTTGTAATCCTCCCCGTTCATTTGTCATTTTATATACAAATACATATAATCATACATATGTTTGGATGTAAATTTATAACCGTGTATTTATGGGTGTACGTATACATACGTACGGTCTGTATATGTATACATATATATATACCATAGGAAGAGCTAGAACACACCGACATAAGATGTTTTGTAGGTTATCCCAAGCTGTGCAGTCTCTTACTTGTTAGCTAATGACCAATCAAATAACTACTTTAATGCGAGATATTGCTATACGGAATGAGACATTTACATACGTAACACCCAATTCTTATGTATTTGCATATCTAGCACCTAAACTTAGACTTTAACTTTTATCCCGCACCCAAATCTTTCACATCACATCAAATATGCCACGACCCTATACTTTTTAAAAGTAAAATACAGCTTTTCTTGCATGTATAAGGTGGTTTGTAAGTTAAATTTAAAGTTTAGGGTTTGATATAGAAATATATAAGAACATTGTTATTTATAAAACTAAATTCATTTCATTTCATCTAAAATCATGTAGAAGTTTAACTCCTTTGATATATAAATACATAAGAACAATGTCCGATATTGAAATATATAAGAAAATTGTTATTTATAAAACTAAATTCATTTTATTTCATCTAAAATCAGGTAGAAGTTCGACTCCTTTGATATATAAATACATAAGAACAATGTCCATGAAAATTCAAGTTTGTGGAAACCCAATTAAGGGCCCGTTTGGGGCAGCTTATAAGTGTAGGGGTGTTTTTGAAAACACTACGGTGCCGTTTAGATCGCGCGTTTTGATTGCTTATCCGAAAATGCAATTCCATTTTTACACTAAACGCAGACTATGGGTCGACCCCCACGGTCGACCCGCAGGCTGCGTTTCAGGATAAGGTGTTTATCCTCACAAGCTTCCCCAAACGATGCCCTAAAACAAGTGGCATTTACATACATAACACTGAGAAAATTGTTATTTACAAAACTATCAACTTGTTTCATCCGTCCCTTGAATTCTCACTAAAATATCAAAATTACCTTAACTGAAATTGATAGAAACCTATCAGTCAAGAGTAACTTACTTGTGACTAAAAGTAGTCACGGAGCCAACATCGAGTGGTTGTCGATCGTCACAGAGAAGCTTGCCGCCATCAAGAGAAGCGCACGCCAAAAAGATGCTCAAGCAAAGAGGGAATCAAAGAGCCAAAAGGAAGAAGTGAGAGTTTTGGGTTGTCATATTTGATTAAATTACAAGTTGTGTCTGATTATTAGTTGATTTATCAATCAATTCCTTATCCTCGACTGAATTTAACTGGTAAATAAGTTCAACTAAATTTAAGTAGTTTCATTACCCGCTAATGTTGGTAAAGTAATCTAGTTGAAATTAATTGAACATGAAGTTTTAAATTGGGACAAATTTGATTAATTTTACCAATAAAAAAGTGTTAGTTGAATTAAAGCCAAGCATGGTTAATCAATTGGATTATATTATAAAGGTTGACTTAAGCCTGCTTAGTCAAATTGGTCAAGATAAACTAATGGGTTTAAATATATAAATTTTGGTTAATAGCCCTAGGTTTGATCTCTTTAACTCATCTATTACATCAAATAGATCAATTTGGGCTAAACTAAGGTCGAACATCTCATTAGGCTGATATAAAGGTCCACTAGTTCAACTTGGTCATATTTAAGTGATTGGATTTTATTTGTAAACGAACCGAACATTTGTTTGTGTTTGTGTTCGGTTTGGTTCGTTTGAAATTTGGTTTGTTTGAAATAAGCTCGTGTTTGAAATTGTTCATGAAGTCACTGTTCGTGTTAGTCTTTCTTAACGAACAAGCCGAACACGTGCTGTTCGTGAACGACGAGCCAGTTTGACCTAATATTAATATAGATAAATAATATATTGTACTAAATATATAACTTATATTATATAAATATATAATATATATTAGTATATTACTAATATAGTATATTAATATATTATTTTATTATTTTATTATATATTATAAATTATAAAATTTAATTTTATAACGATTCGAACACGAATGAACGCATCATTATTCGTGTTTGGTTCGTTTAACTAATCGAACGAAAAAAATTTGTTCGCGTTCGTCTCGTTTACTTATCGAACGAATCGAACACGAACTCATTGACGAACCGAACACGAACTGTATGTGAACAACGAGCTTCTTTGACAGTCTTAAGTATATCCTCCTTTATTTAAATCATTAAGATAATGGACTGCTCTTATAGGCTATATAGAGGTGTAAATGAGTTGAGTCGAGCTTCAGCCAACTTGGCTTAAGCTTGAGTTTGTTTGAAAAATTTAATCGAGTTTGAACTCAGGCTCAAGCTTAATTCTATGAGTTCGAGCGGGCTCATAAGCATGCTTGTTTAGCATGAAAGAGAGAAAAAATATTAATTTAAGCTAATGTTATAATTAAATGACCACGAGAATGATTATTAATGAGATAATTAATAAGAAACTACTTTATTAAAAAAAATATGGAGTATCAATTTGTAAATATTTTTAATTATATATATATATAT